CCCTGTACTGTGTTGCCAGTTGCTTGCCTACTAGACTGGAAGCTTTGAGAGTAGTACCTGGTGTATAGGAGACCCTCAATAAATATTGTTTTAACTATGGTTAAAACAACAACTTCCTTTTTATAAATTTACTGGCACCCTACCTTTAGTATCAGTAATAACAGTAAATTTATGATAATTTCCCTAGTTATAAAATAATACATGTCTGATACAGAAAACTTGGAAATATAGAAAGCACAAAGAAAAAGAAAAAACCATTCTTGTTATCCACCAGAGATAATAATTAATTACATTCTGATGTATAGTATTCCAATCTTTTTCCTGTGTTTCATTTTGTTTTATATCAAAAGTTATTGTAATGCATCTACCCTTTTATAGTCCCTTTTAAATTAATGTATCATTTGAGAATGTTAATATCATGTAAATCATATCTCTGATGAAGTTAACACCCAGAATGTATAAAGAACTCCCACAAGTCATCAAAAAATCCAAACAACCCTGTTTAAAAACGGGCAAAGGACTTGAATAGACATTTCTCCAGAGAAGAAATACAGATGTCCAATAAGCACATGAAAAGATGTGCTTTTATATCATTAACAGTAGAGAAATGCAAATAAAAACCACAATGAGATACTACTTCATATCCAGTGGGATGGCTATTATAAAAATAAACAAAGAAAATACAGGAAATAACAAGTGTTGACGAGGATGTGGAGCAATTGAAATCCTTGTGAATTACTGGTGGGAATGTAAAATGGTGCAGGCTCTCAAAAAAGAGAATTACTATATGATCTAGCTGTCTCATTTCTTGGTTTATACCCTGAAGAACTGGAATCAGAGATTTGGATAGGTCTTTATATCCATGTTCAAGACTGCCTATTCACAGTATCTAAAACATGGAAACAGGGACTTTCATGGTAAGAATCTGCCTTGCAATGTAGGGGACTTGGGTTGGATCCCTGGTCGGGAACCTAAGACCCCACATCTGTGGGGCAACTAGAGAGAAACGCACACACCTCAGTGAAGAGCTCACAAAAGATCCCCTGTGCCACAACTAAGACCCGAGGCAGCCAAATAGATATATTTTAAAGATGGTTAAAATCATAAATTTCAAGTTTGTATTGTGTGCTTTTGTCACTCAGTGTGCCTGACTCTTTGCCACCCCGTGGACTGACTGTAGCGCAACGGGCTCCTTTGTGCATGGGAGTTCTCCAGGCAAGAACACTGGAGTGGGTTGCCACTTCCTTCTCCAGGGGATCTTCCTGACCCAGAGGTTAAACCTGCGTCTCCTGCATTGGCAGGCAGACTCTACCGCTGAGCCACCAGGGCAGAGAAGGCAATGGCATCCCACTCCAGTGTTCTTGCCAAAGGAATCCCAGGGATGGGGGAGCCTGGTGGGCTGCCGTCTATAGGGTCGCACAGAGTCAGACATGATTGAAGCGACTTAGCAGCAGCAGCAGCAGAGCCACCAGGAAGCAAAGAATGAATATGCGGTGCTGTGCTGAGTCGCTCAGTTGTGTCCGACTCCCTGCAACCCCATGGCTAGAGCCTGCCAGGCTCCTCTGTCCATGGGGATTCTCTAGGCAAGAATACTGGAGTGGGTTGCCTTGACCTCCTCTAGGGCATCTTCCCAACCTAGGGATCGAACCCAGGTCTCTCATGTTGCAGGCAAATTCTTTACCATCTGAACCACCAGGGAAGCCCTTTATGTTGATATTACCATGATTTTTAAAATGTTTATATCATCCCCCTACCCACATCCAGTTGACAGAACTCTAGAAGCAGAGCGCAGGCAGGAGGGAAACTGAAAATAAATAAATAAATAATGTACATATCAGTTATTTCCAAACTTTGCTGCATGTTGAATTCCCTGGGGATCTTTAAAAAGTACTAATGCCTGACTCCCATCCCCCAGTCATTCTGATTCTGGTGTAGGATATGGCCTGGGTGTTGGGATTTTTAAAAATCTCCTGGATGATTCTAATGTGTGGCACAGTTTGGCTCCCTGTCTGATGCTCTTGTTGTTGCTGAGTCGCTAAATCATGTTCAACTCTTTGGGACCCCATGGATGGGGGCCTGCCAGGCTCCTCTGTCCATGGGATTTCCCAGGCAAGAATACTGGAGTGGGTTGTCATTTCCTTCTCCAGGGGATCTTCCCAACCCAGGGTCTCCTGCTTGACAGGCAGATTCTTTACTACCATTGGTCACCTGATACAAAGGGCCAACTCGGAAAACACCATTGTACTGGGAAAGATTGAAGTCGAACAGAGAAGGGGGCAGCAGAGGATGAGATGATTAGATAGCCTCATAGACTCAGTGGACCCGAATTTGAGGAAACTGCAGGAGATAGTGGAAGACAGAGGAGCCTGGCATGGAGCCTGCACTTCATGGAGTCACAAAGAGTCAATAAGACTTAGCTACTGAACAACAACAACAAAAACAACTGATGCTCTTCCCACCATACAAGAACAGTGGGCACCATACCTCCCTTGGCTGGTACAGTTAGGATGGGAAGAAGGGCCTGAAGGATTCTCCCTGACCCTCCTTCCTAACTTCAGGCCTCAGGGGAGTTGGACCCACCCAAACTAAGGAGGGTCCCGTGTTCACCTCCTGTCATCTATCATGACACTTATTGAAATTTTTTATTAAATGTATTTACCTGTTCACACTTTGGGGAATCTCTTTTCCCCTAAATTCCCTGTAAGTTCCATGAGTGAGGAAGAGTGTCTTTTCACAGTTTATTTCTAGCACCTGGCACACAATAAATGCTAAGTTAGTGTTTTGGAATTAATAAATACTGTTGCTCTCTTCCATTGCCTCCCTCTCCAGGATCTTCTAACTCTGTGTCATTTATTATTGTTTTTGCAGAATTTTTGGCACTTTTCCTAGCCCCCCACCTTCTCTTCAGGGGCTTGTTGATTAAACCATTTGCTCACTTATTCTACTATATATTGAATATCCACCATGTCCCAGGCACCACAACGGTACTGTAGGCCCTTGGGAGCAAAGAGACAACTCTCAGGTAACGTAAAGTCTGGAGGGAAGACCACTGAATAATCACATTAACATAGTAATAAACAACAGTAATGCTATGAAAGACAGAATGGGAGAACCCAACCTAGTGGTGGGGGCGGGGTGGAGGTCAGAGAAGGCTTCCCTGGAAAAGCTGGGTTAACTATGCAAATAGAATGGAATTGGGGGTGGGGGTGGGTGGTCTTAAAAGTAGTTCAGGCCTCAGGAAGGGGCTTCCATGGTGGCTCAGATGGTAAAGAATTTGCCTGCAATGTGGGAGACCCAAGTCTTCCCTGGATTGGGAAGACCCCCTGGAGTAGGAAATGGCAACCCACTCCAGTATTCTTGCCTGGACAATGCCATGGACAGAGGAGCCTGGTGGGCTACAGTCCATGGGGTTGCAAAGAGTCAGACATGACTGAAGCGACTTAGCACGCACACAGGCTTAAAGAAGAGTCTGTGCAAAGGCCTCGAGGCAAGAGGGAATGCAGGACATTAGAAGGAATATAGTGAGAGCTAAGAGGTAGTTACGGGACAGATCCAGGGCTGGCCTTGAAAGGCACCACAAAAATTTTGGTCTTTACCCTAAGAGCAAGGCAAAGATTACTGATCCTGAAGTAAGTACTTCAGTAATTACTGAATTACTGAAGGAATTATTTATTGGGGAGAACACAAGTGAATGAGGGTGACCACTCCCACTGTCCCCTTGGTTACTCGCAGTACCACTTTTGCTCCCTCTGGCAGGGTGTTCCACTTCTTCTCTATTCTCCTTGTGCCCTTTAGCCTGTTCTTCACTCCCCCTGGAACTGTAACCCCTCTTCCCCGCCTCCCTGCCCCATCCCCAGAACCCTGTCCTTGGGTCTCACTCTGGTAGCCTTCTGGTTTTTTCCCTTCGCTGTGCTGGTTATTCATCATGATGAAGAAAGCCAGGGCTTTCTCTAGTTGCAGAGCACAGGCTCTAGGGTGCTTGGACTTCTCTAGTTGTGGGATCTGAGTCCCCCCACCCAGGGATCAAACCAGCACCCCCTGCATTGGAAGGCAGATTCTTAACCACTGGACCACCAGGGAAGTCCTGGCCCTCTGGGTTGTTTTTTTGTTCAGAGCCTCTCTTTCTGCAGCACTTCCCCTTGCTCTCCCGGCTACCACGAAGGCCCTCAGGCCTCTGGATCCCAGCCTTGGCTTCACTCCCACCCCAGGGCCCTTGGATGGTGCAAAACCTACCGTCCAGGTGTGTGTCTGAGAACTCTGACTCTTGGATTTTTATCTCATCGCACCTTCCTGCTTCCTGGGAAAAGTAACTTTGGGGTTTCAGGGCGGAGAGAAGACTGGGAGCAGCCGCAGCCTGGACATAGATTCTGTACGTTTGCCCAAAGTGAAAGTGAAGTAAAAGTCACTCAGTCATGTCCGATTCTTTGTGACCCCATGGACTATACAGTCCATGGAATTCTCCAGGCCAGGATACTGGAGTAGGAAACCGTTCCCTTCTCCAGGGGATCTTCCTAAACCAGGGACCAAACCCAGGTCTCCCGCGTTGCAGGTGGATTCTTCACCAGCTGAGCCACCAGGAAAGCCTGAAGTGGAGCCCACCGAAGAGAATCACACGTAGCAACATGGCCTTTACTGTAGGGGCTTTACTGTAGGGGCTGAGCTCACTGAGGGAGCGAAAAGTTCCCGTCTGTCAGGGGTAGAGCGGTGAAAGAGGTGCAATGGGAGAAAAACCAATTCTGACAGGAGTGGGGTGAGGGCAGTAATAGGGAGTGTTGGGCCAAGGGGACACCTAGGGGATGAGAAGGGGGGGGGGGGGGGGAGGAAAGGGCTGTAGTGGAGAAGGGAGGGGAGATGACGGCTCTGAGGGAGCCCAGGCCTGCTGCCTTGGCCTGGGAGCGGACCATCTTCTCAGCAGCGGAGGCAGGAGCAGACGCAGCACCCCGGGCTGAGAACACAGACAGTGCCTTGGACTTGCTGCCTGCTGCCTGGTGCTGTCCTCCTCACTTTCGGGCGCCCAGTGCTAGGGCGATGATCAAGCCCAGAACCAGCAGGAACATGGCGACCGAGAGCAGCACCGTGATGACCACCATGCCCCCTGTCCGGGCCATTGCCAGCCCAATGGATTCTGCCTTCCTTCCTGTCAGAAGAGAGGAGGGAGGCAGTTCTAGGCAGGAAGGGCCCCCACCCTGCCCAAGGCTCCCAGCCTGGCCTCTCATCCATTCATCCAGCCAGCCATCCCCTCATCCATGTATTCATCCAACCAACCAACAAATCATCAGATAAACATTTATGAAACGTCTCCTATGTGAGGCACTGAGGACTCAGAAATTAATCGGACACAGTCACTACCCACAAAGTTTAGCGGTCCGGGGAAATGTGTCAGCAGCCACTTAAAATGCCAGGGGCTCAGTGTGAGGATAGAGGAAGGCAGAGAAGCTAAGGGAGGATAGGAAGGGGCAGGTGGGGTTTGGGGCAAGAGGGGCCAGGGAAGGCTCTGGGGCCCTGAGACGTTACTCACGAGGAAGTGTGGACATTGGGATTTCTCTGCTGGACTCGGTGGATGCCCCCTTTGTCACGAGGTAGGAAACGCTTTTGTGGTGAGGTTCGGGAGAGGAGAGAATCCTTGGTCAGTGTCCAAGACTTAGAATATGAGGGAGTCCAGGCCTCCCCCTCCACAGCTGTGCCCAGGAGAGGCCTGTTCTGTTAGCTGTGCCCCCGCTCTCTCCCCCATACTCACCACATCCCACCAAAGTCAGGACCCAGCTCCTCTTCCTATAGCCCTTCACACCCGTGCCCCAGGCCCGGCTCTGGTACTTACTAGTATTTGGTTCCTGGCACCAGGTTTGTCACCTGGTATGCAGTGAGCCGGGTGACTGTGAAGCCAGACCCGCTGTCCACCACGCTCACCAGCTCCCTGCGTCCGCGGCACGGAGGCACCACGAAGCTAGATCTCACCACTGGGGGGAATCAGTGGTGAAAGTTAGGGTCAAGCTTTGAAAGGCCCCAAGGAGGAGGGCAGTATTTAGAGTATGGATGGTGGGAAAAGGGGGTCAACAGGAAGGGAGAGTGGGAGGAGGGATGCCCGGGTATCCTGGGAAGGGATCTCTGGGGACTAGGGGGTGCCTGGGAGTGGGAAGCAGACCTTTGCTGTCATTGGCTCGCCGGACAGTCAGGGTGGCATTGCCCCCTGTGAGGTGACACGGGGGCAAGGCAACGAGCAGGCTTTCCGTCATCACTGGGGACAGCAGACCAGAGAGGCTTGAGATGTTGAAGTCAGCTAGGGGGCCGGAAAGGAGTTCAGAGGAGGATCGTTCCCTTTCTCACCAACAGATCGACCATCCCGCTCCACCCCTGGGGGTCCTCTCTAAGGATGAAGAGTCCCTTCTACTCCGTGGTCTGTTTGCAGAACACGAGTCTTTGCCCATAGGACCACCAGGTGGCAGGCTTGGGCTGCAGAAGCTGGGTACTCCTCCAAGCCTCCAGATGCAGGGGTGCTAGAAAAGGGCAGCTCCCAACCCCACCCCTGTCCAAAGCCTTGGTCTCTTCCCCACTCCTGCCTGCCTCCTGGGTCTGGAAGGGGACAGGCGTATGCCCTGGGTCCAGTGACTGATGCCTGGTCACCGCCATCACCAGGTCCCCAGCCCCAACTGGCCAGACCAGCCCCTCTTTGACAACCCTGGAAGGCACAGTGCCTCCTGTCCAGAAACCCCCTTCCAAACCCCTCCCCACCCTGGCCAGAGATGGCAGAGACCTGCAGCCCCGGGGGCCAGGACAGCCAGCAGAATCAGGATCCAAGACAAGGTCCACACAGGCTGCAGAGATGCCATCGCTGGGCCGGGAGCTGGGGTGGGTGCTGGCGGGCTGTGACTGCCTAAGGCAACTGAGGCCCTGCCCCAGGGGCTGTCTGGTTTTGTCCTGGTGGGGTGGGAGGAGCTCGAGGGGAATCCTGCCCAACCTGCCCCTTGGGCATCAACAGCCTCAGGGGAGGCCCCCAGACAGGTTTTTCAGGATGGGGAGCTGGCCCGCCTGGCTGGATCTCAGTGGCTTAGTCACCTCAGAGGGGCAGGGGAACTGAGGTGGGGTTGGAAAATCCTTCTGGGACACCCACGTGTAAGAGCACGAGTGTTCCCGCCTGCACAAGCATCTGGAGCCCGGCCTGTAGAGGACCACCCCCCACTCCTGTGTGGTGGGGGTCTTCCCAGGAGGGTGGCCAGTACTGAGTTTGCCCTGGTGTGTGGGGAGAGGGGAGTCACACTGAGGGGCTCCTGAAAGGGCCTTGGCTGGGTAGGAACGGGAGAGAAACAGAGAAACCGAAACCAGCAGGACAGGGTCAGGGCATCAGAGCCCAGGGCCCCAATTCTTGGCATCCACTGAGGCCCAGGCACTGAACTCTGGGAGAGGCAGAGGGGTATGGGTGCCTGGAAGCACACAGGGCTTCCCATTCCTCTGGAGAGTGGGCCAAGGATGCCATGGAGGACTTCCAGAGATCGGAGAGGTGGGCATTGACCTGCCCAGTGGGGGTGGGGGATGCATACCGTCAGCCTTGGTCAACAACATTTGCTGAACTGTTTGAAAATAAAGGAGAGAGAGAGAGAGATGGGGAGAAAATGAAAGAAAGACACTTCTCCAAACGCCCTCCCACCCCTGTGCTCCGTTAGAGAGCCGTGAAGGAGCTGTGAGCAGAGAGGAGGAGAAAGCACCTCTCCTGGGCCCGGGCAGGTGCTTTGCTTGCCCTACACTCACTGTCACTGTCAGCCCGGGCGGTGGATGTTATTGGCTCCTTTCGTGGATGTGGAAACTGAGACTCAGTCAAAGCCACTTGTGGAACGTGGAATACTTTGTCAGGACAGGTCGTAGACCTCTGCAGAGAGCCTTCATGTGTGTCTTTCTGCTCCTGGAGCCACTCTTGCTCCCCCAGTCCCAGAAAAGGGCCAGGGTCCCACCAGGGAAGTGAGGGGCTAGTGAGGGTGTGTCCTTAGCCCCACAGTGAGAAAGTCAGCTCACGTCCTGGGGTTTGAGCAGGGGGTGACAGTAAAGACAGGACTCCTGGACCAAAGCGGAGAGTGGGAGGGCCTCAGACCAGCGCTTCTCCAAATTGAATGTGCGTGTGAATCACCGGGGATCTTGTTAAGATGCAGTATCTGATTCAGTGGGTCTGAGGTGAAGCCTGAAATTCTGCATTTCTAACGAGCTTCCAGGTAAGGTTGATTGATGCTGGTCTGGGAGGCACACACCAGATGCTCAGTATGGCCTCTCCCTCCCCCCACCCCCACACACACTCTGGACCCTCTGCTGGAGATCAGAGTCAGGTGTTTTGCCCCTGTCTCCCAGGACAGGCTGCCTTTGGGTGAAGAAATGAATTCTGTTTTCCCTGTGCCTTGGCTTTTGTTCCCTTTTAGATAAGATCTGATCATTATTCTGCAAAATGAAAGAGGATCTTTGGCACGTTGAAGAACTTTGGAGAGAGGGAACAGACTAAATGGTGGAATTCCAGGGGTGAGGGATCTTCTTAGTACTCTTCAAATCCCATCCCCAGCCAGGAGGATGTTTACACTTGGGCTTGGGAGAGATCACTTCCCATCTCAGTCACAAACCAGCAGCAGAAAGAAGAGATTGGGTTTATTGCAGACTGGGTCATGTTGTGTCTACTCCTAAGCTCCCATCTCCATCTGAAATTATGAGTGGGACAGACTGGGGTAGGGGATGACAGAGCTCTGACCAGATTTTAAAAGAATAAGAGGGGCCTGTGCCTTTAAACCCTCCTTTCTCTCTTCAATCCTCCCCCCTTCCCCACCCTTGGCCCTCCCCAGGTTTCTGGAGGAGCTGAGAGTTGCGTCTTCTCCCTGCCCTGCCGAGCTGCTCACTGGCTGCTCTGGAGGCTGTGCTTTGGGGTCTCCATGGAAACCATTAGTTGCTAAGCAACTGGAGCATCATCTGTGCTGAGCTCTCGCATCTAATTATCCCATCACAGCCGCCGAGAAGGGTTTGGGGAGCTGAGAGGAGGGGGAGGACAAGCACAGGAGCAAGAGGATAACTCTTTTAGCAGAGCAGATTCATTGACAACGCTGAAGTCATTTAAAGCCACAGCACTCTTCCTCTGGAGGATTTCCTCATGGCTTGGAGAAATCGAGCCAGGGCCACAAATGCCTGGGGTCTCTCTCTTGGACCCACTCTTTCTAGACTGTCTCTCTCTTGGTTTCTCGATTCTCAACTCACTCAAGTTTCCTCCCTTGCCTCCTTCCTTCCAAATAGCAAATAGTTATTAAATACCAGTTATGTCCCTGGAACTGTGCTAGGCACCAGGGATATGAAGGTAAGATAAATTTTTGCCCTCGAGGAGTTCCTGATTGTTTTATTCTGCTCCAAAGATTAGCTCCTGAAACAGACCTACTCTTTCTAAACTCTAAACTGTGGTTCTTTCTTTCTTCCTCTCTTTCTCCCTTCATTGCTTCCTTCTTCCCTTCCTCCCTCCCTCCTTTCTTTCATTCTTGTTAAATTGAACTACAGTAGTTTTGCAACCAAGAGAGCTTGGATCAGAACCCAGGTCTGCCTGACATATTATACTTTTGTTTCTCCTTTGGCAATGCCATTCTTAGTCACTTAGGAGAACATATCCACCTGGTTCCATGGGCATGTCAACCTCTGATGGGCACTACCATGTAACTTTAGGTGAGTCACGTTGAACCTCAATTTTCTCACCTATAAAATGGAAAGACTCTTTCCTTACCATCTAGCAACATATGACAGATGTAAAAATGCTTTAAAAATAAAGTTGCAAAAGGAATGTAGAGACCATTGTCAGAATCTATAGTAGCAGACCGGGGGAAACCCTGGCGACTTGGATCTAGAGGTCAGATGCAGTGCTCACCAAATGTTGGTCCAATGATGAATGGCAGAGCATCTGTCCTTGAGATATGAGGCTGGAAAAGGCTGTGAGAGTAAGAAAATCTCGGTTGTTCAGTGATAGAATGCAACTGGATGCTTCTTTATTTTTTTTTCTAATATTGCCCATGACACAACCACTTCCCTCAAATCTTTCAGCTTTCTGACCTTGACCAAGTTAACTACCTAACTACTCTGAGCTGTAGTTTTCTCTTCCATAGAAAGGGTATAAAATCTGTCTCATCAGGATACTATGACTATCACTCAAGGTAATTTATTTAAGAGTGCCTAGCACTGTATCTGGTTCAATAAATATTAATTCAAGTAATTTATCTTATCCTCTCTTTTTTATTAACCCTTGGTGCAGAAGAAGACTAGAGGCTCAGAGGCAATAAATAACATTCTGAAGGTCTCAGAGTGAGCAAAAAATGAGGTGGGATAGAATTCAGAATTTGCTTTTCCAACCATGTCATTGATGTAAGGGCTTCCCAGGTGGCTCAGTGGTGAAGAATCCACCTGCCAATGTAGGAGATGTGGGCTCAATTCCTGGGTCAGGAAGATTCCCTGGAGGAGGAAATGGCAACCTGCTCCAGTATTCTTGCCTGGGAAAGCCCATGGACAGAGGAGCCTGGCAGGCTACAGTCCATGGGATTGCAAAGAGTTGGACATGATTGAGCGACTGAGCATGCACGCATTGATGCAAAGGAGGTGGCTGGGCAAGAAGGGTCGTCTGGGATGGGGGTGGAGGGTGAGTGACTGTGGTGGATCAGCTGTAACACACATACTGAAGGGGTACCAGGCACAAGGGAACAGCCTGCTCACACACTTATTCATTCAATAAATATTTGTTGAACAACATCTCTATGGTGGGTACTACACTAGGTGATGAAATACAGAGACGACAAGACACAACTCCTGCTCTCAAGTTGCTGATTTTTGGAGGGTTGCAGAGTTAGCGTTCCTAAGTGGGAAGGGATATTCCAAAAAAAAGGGAACAGTACATGAAAAGGCTCAAAGATGTGAATTATCCCGACACCTGGAGCTGTGAACAATACATCTTGGCTAGAAAGATATATTCAAGGATGAACATGGTGACAGCTCTAGCCATCAGTTAGGCCACCAATGGCTTTGTAAGCTATGCTGAGGAGCCTGGCGCTTTTTTTTTAGATTTATTTATTTTTGGCTGGGCAGGATCTTCGTTGCTGCTTGCAGGCTTTCTCTAGTTGCAGCGAGCAGGGGCTGCTCTGCAGTTGTGGTGTGCAGGCTTCTCATCGCGGTGGCTTCTCTTGTGCGGCACAGGTTCTAGAGTGATGGCTCAGTAGTTGTGATGCACAGGCTTAGTTGCTCTGTGGCATGGAATCGTCTCTGACCAGGGATCAAACCCGTGTCCTCTGCATTGGCAGGTGGATTCTTAACCACTAGACCATCAAAGAAGCCAGGAGCCTGATTCTTTTGCCGAAGAAAACAGGAAGCCTCTGAGGAGTTTTACTTGTTTAAAGATCTTTCTGGAAACAGTGTGGGAATGGATTGGCAGCAGGTAAGAGACTGGTTCATTGTGTCAGGGTTGGTTTATGTGGCCAATAGAATATGACAGAAATGACAGTAGGTCACTTCTGAGGCTACGTCCTAAAATGCATTGCATCTTCCCACTTGCTCTCATAGATTGCTCACCCTGGAGGATATGGGAGCACCTCCATGGGGAGGTCCACGTGGCAGGGAATTGAGGCCTTCTGTCAAGATCCAAGGAGGAACTGAGGCCTCCAACAGACAGCCATGTGAACGGGCGAGCTTGGAGACAGATCCTCCAGACCCAGTCAGTCCTTCAGGTGACTGTGGCCCAGGCTGACACCTTCACTGAAACTTCATGAGACAACTGGCTAAGTCTTACTCAGATTCCTGATTCTCAGAGTAAATGTTTGCTTTTATAAGCCACTAAATTTGGAGA